GTGCTGCATATGAGATGCTAGTTAAGAAACCAGAACTGATAACTATTGCTACTTTATCCTTCTTATGATCTTTCTTTGGGCATCTGGCTGGGTATCGCTGCTGCCTGACCCAACATATGGATTCCTATATTCTTCCCTGAAGCAGTCACATGCATTATGCATCTTTTCTCCAAACATTCACATGTAGTCCAACATACTGCTCTATGAGATGACCTACAGATCAACAGATGTTGCCTTTTGTGTGGAAATCACAGCACATGGACTTGTTATAGTAGCAACAGTTCTGTGCAGAATTAACTTCATTTCAATAGAAGCTTCTAAGGTTTTGAATTCTTTGAGGAACTGGGATACCTCTGTAACCTGTCTGTGTACACAATCTCGTGAGATACAGACAATTAAGACTATGGAGGTAGACAGACTTTCGGATAGTGCAATCTCATTGTCAAAGGTTTAAATGATCAAGTACAAAGTAAGTAGGACACCGGTGTACAAGCATGAAGTGTTATCCCCATCATTTATGGAGAAGCACATACAATTTCCAAGAAAACAAAGGACTGGGGAATAGCAGGGAGAAAAGCTCATTCCTCTACCATTCACACTCCATGAATGAATGGGGAATTTGCACTCTATCTTATTCATTAAATTGGAAACTGCCATCCCTTTAATGAGCAGCCTGGGGGTGGACAAAGTGCCTTGAATAAAGCTTTAGAATATAGAGAACTTGGCATCCTCAATGAAACATAATGTGGGTTTGCAATTGTGGGATTTTTCCAATGAATAGGAAGTGATCAAAGATAACATTAAAACTGTGCAACATTGCATCAAGTTACTGCCAGTGCCAATCATTACATGCCTGAATGCACAAGAGCCTTGAAATAACGTTATAGACATGCTGCGGCATTCAAAATATTCACTGAATTTCAAATTAAAATGCAAAAGCATGCCCTCCACTCATCTGGGCAGAATAGTGAACTCGAAGCACACATCATTCCAAGTATATCTGCAATGTCACATTCTTTATTTACAATCAGCTCCTGAGCACCCTCAATTTCTAGCAGGCTAGATGATAGGGAACTGTAATGCTAAATAAATTCAGCAAGGCCGCATTACAGTTTTGACCTCCGCCATATGAAATGCCACATTCTGAAGAGGTCAGGAGAATTAGAAGCATAGCCAACAAAGATAAAGCATTAAAAATAAAATAAAATAAATACTTGCGGAAGAGAAGAGTTAATTACAGAGTGATCACCTTACCTACTGCAAAAGAAAAGAGGCACACAATGCACGACTTGAATTCATCATTCTGTTGATGAAAGTTCCTGGCACATAATGCCAGACAAAGCTATTTACAGAGGAATGAAAAGTGTTACTTTATTTACATGCTAAACAGTACCACCTTCCAGTTTCAGCTTGTTGAAAAACAGCAGCAAGCAAGCAATGCAGAAAGCAAAGGAAAAGGAGCAACTATCCATGGCAGATGAGGAAGATGGGAAAAGCAGGGGGGACAAATATATGTGAGCAATAGGGAAATTACGCATTACATTACATTTTCAAAAAGTGACAGCCACATCTCTTCCTAGCACTCTACAGGGAGCCCCAAAACAAATAAAAAAAACAAATATCCCAATGAAGAAATAGCAGAGAAATGATTTTGCTCTGAATCAAGAAATAGGAAAAGGGAAAGTGGATCATTTAACCTCAAGAACCTCTATGAAAACAAAATGCAATCTAATCTTAAAGGGAAGCAAATAAATGTAACATCTGGCACAAGCTCTGTGCAATCAACATGGCCAAAGCATAGCATCTATTTTATTTCCAAATAGCATGATGGAAAAGAAGATGAATTTAGATACCTTAGAAAAGTGAAGTGCTTTCTGTCATGATAATGCTGGTTCCATTTACTTCTGAAGCCTTGTGTTAGATTGGAGGTGATATTTGGGCTTTATAACACTACTTTATGGTGGTGGGTTGAGGAAGTGGGTTGTGTGTCTGTTAAAACTCATACTATAATAAATCTGTTAGTTTAATAATGTCGTGCAGCTCTCTTGTTATCACTTATTTTTGAAAGTCCTCTTTGGTTAAATAAAGAATCCCTTCTCTGCACTTTACCCATTTCCCCAGCCCTATGCTTTCCCGTTGGCCCAGCCCTCCTATAGCTGTTCAGTGGGCCTTGGAAATAAATAGCCCCAGGTCCCACCCTGACCATCAGGTAGGACCCTGCTTGCACTCCCCTGGCCCTAGTCCACTTCGTTGCACTAGCCTAGCCCTCTCATAGTTGTCTAGGCCCACTTTGAAATTCTGGCTATTGGTAGCTGAATTTTTGCCCAATGGAATAGTATTGAAATTGGCTTTTACATTTTAAAATGGGTATGCTTGTTTTAATAGTATTATGTTTATGTTTTATAATGGTTATTTGGTATGATTTTTGTTGGTAATTGAATGTTTTACCTATTCTGGAAACTGCTCTGAGTCCCCTCGGGGAGATAGAGTGGTATACAAATAAAGTATTATTATTATTATTATTATTATTATTATTATTATTATTATTATATTGTAAAAACCTTAAGGATTATAAAAAAGGATCCCACCCATATACCCATCACTATTGTGATTTAAATAAATACATTTACTTAATTATGGAAGCAGAAACCTCCTATTATTAGGTTATTTCACCCAAAATGCTATTAAGGTGGCCTTTTGCAGCTGGCAGGTGGTAATTTTGTTAGCGCCAATTGTGTTTAAGTGCAGGCCAAGGTCTTTAGGCACTGCACCCAGTGTGCCGATCACCACTGGGACCACCTTGACTGGCTTTTGCCAGAGTCTTTGCAGTTTAATCTTTAAATCCTCATATCGTGTCAGCTTTTCCAGTTGTTTCTCTTCAATCCTGCTGTCACCTGGGATTGTAACATTGACGATCCATAGTTTGTTTTTTAACACGATTGTGAGGTCAGGAGTATTGTGCTCCAAAACTCTGTCAGTCTGAATCCGGAAGTCCCAGAGGAGTTTGGCGTGTTCATTTTCTTTCCAGTTTGTGATCCCACCAGTTCTTTGTGGCAGGCAGATGGTATTTGTGGCACAAGTTCCAATGAATCATCTGAGCAATGGTGTTATGCCTCTGCTTGTAGTCTGTCTGCACAATCTTCTTGCAGCAGCTGAGGATATGATCTATTGTTTCATCTGCTTCCTTGCAGAGTCTACGCTTGGGATCTGTTGTCAACTTTTCAATTCTGGCTTTGATAGCATTTGTTCTATTATTATTATTATTATTATTATTATTATTATTATTAAGTTGGAAACCAGGAGGACATTTTTGCAATTAGTATTTTGGAGTATATGCAGCTGTGTGTGCATCTAGTTCTAATAAAAAGTTGTGTACCTTCCCAAGAACTGCATTTCCTTGTACCAGTTATAGCAGACAGGCACCAGGAAAGCCAATTTGTGTCCCATGCCAAATACTAGGGAACCGGAGAGGTAAGGGTCGGACTGACCCTCCCCCCTCCCCCCGAGGCCCCCCCCCCCCCCAAATACTAGGGAACCGGAGAGGTAAGGGTCAGACTGAGTAAGATAATGGGCAACAATGACATAAAGATTTTGCAATAACCAGACAACCGATCTAGCTTGCACGCAGAGAAGGCACTTAATAAACAAACCACTGTTTGATTTAGTTCAGGACAGTCAGCAAGTGCTTTGTTGAAAGAAAGTGTTCAATGTTAAAAGAACATTACAAAGCACTTGGCTGCGTAATTCCTGCAGTTGATCAGTCAGCTTCATTGAGAGTAAGAGGCTGATACATTGCACAAACATTCACACATGAGCCCAAAGGAATCTAGTTAGCCTGATTGTACTCTGTACACGTGCAGAATTCAGTTTTACATTCTAGGTAGAGAAAAACTTCCAGTGGGAATTATGCCATGGGCATCACAAAGTGAACAAAAACTGCTGGGACTGGGTTATGTAAAACCAAATCTGCAACCATTGCAACTATGATAAATAACAGCACAAATAAGAAGTGAGTTGATAACCATATGTTTGAGGCTAGGGACTGTGTAATATGGGTTTCCTATTGCCCTGAGCATTAATCATTGAATAAAGGAGAGCATTGATTGTATCCTGGCAATGAAGTTGGGTTCTCAAAGACTCTGATCGTGCAAGAGAATTCCGATTGAGAAGGCGTCTAGAGGTGATGTCAGGAGATATGAATGCTTTATATCTGGTGCTCAGTCTTCAGTGGCAGTTCCACACACACACTTGATGTTGCAGTTTCTAAATCTACATGCTTGAAATCAACTTTTTTGCCGTAGTGAACCTTGCCCATTTTAAGTATTGTGCAGACTGTACAATTTGCTTCCTGCATTGTTGGAGCAGACCTCGGTACCTGCATCACATTGCAAGCTCAGAAACAATTTGAATGCCTACTGTTCTTGCGTAGAGTTCCTAAACAACTGTTAATTACAGTAAGTCTTGCCTCTGGCTAGGACTAATTTATGTATGTGACGCTTCTGGATTAGTCTCACTTTCCAAGACATAGTGATAAAGCAAAGCTCTTCAGCTGAATCTGCTCAGTAATTATGGTCTGATATGGGCCTATGTTTTTGGTATATTGTTAAATGAGTTTACTGTTCCTGGCAAGAAGCTGCTATATCTAAAAGGTTATATTTCAGAAACAGTTCATATCATTATTATGCTCCCTTTCGGTGTTGTAATTCACTCAGGTTCCTTTAATAATATTTGCTGAATTTATCTCAAAGTCGTTCTCTGTATGTTCATCTTTCCTTAGAATTAATGAAGAATTAATTTTAATAACACTAAATAAAAGATCAGTCTTATGAATAATATATGGAAGGAAAGAAATGGCTTAATAGAGTGCATTGCAGACCCAACTAAAATTATTAGA